TTCTGATGATTATTTCCTTAGCTGTGCAGAAACTTTTTAGTTTAATCAAGTCCCATGTATTTATTTTTGTTGCTGCTGCAATTGCCATTGGGATCTTCGTTACAAATTCTTTGCCTAGACTGATGTCTAGAAGAATTTTTTTCCTACATATTCTTCTAGGATTCTTATGGTTTCATGCCTTATATTTAAGTCTTTTATCCATCTTGAAAGTGAGGTTGGTCTTCACTACAAGTGCTAAGTGAACAGTCTATATTTTTCCTCTTTGCCAACAACAAGGAGGACAGGGAGCCTTTCCCTGACTCCTGTTCCTTCCACCCTCTCCCACCCTTGTGATGTGTGCAGACACTCCTTCCCCACCCATCCCCAACTCACATTCTCCCCCTGACTCTGGAGTCCTTTCAGTTCCTTCCCTCCCTCTCTGCTAAAACCTCTCTCCAACCTTCCTTCATAGCTGCTGATAAATTTCAGGTATTACCCCTCTCAGGAGATCTACTTTGAAAGGTGGAATAATTCCAGTGGTGTATCAGAGCCAACTCATCTCAGCTTGTGAGAGCTGATTGTTAAATTTTCAGGAATTTTGCCTGACAGTCGTTAAACAAAGCCATTATTAAAAATCAAATAATATACAGTTACTGTTCAACAAATTCTATTAAACGCAAAGGTAATAAGTACTCAAAATTCACCACTTCCTAATTATTTTACGACATGGTAAGATTATCTGTGCTCTTGAGGTCATGCACATCTAACCGTATGGTGGAAATGCTATGAAAGGTGCACATCTCTTCCTAACTCCATGTTCAGTGAAGCCCCATTGTTAGCTTGAAATCAGCAATGGTAGGAGAATTTACACCACAGAAATTGGCCATCAATACAAATCAGTTATTCCCCTGGGAGCTGGTTGTTATATTTGTCAGCATATCACTGAGAATAGACGTCATAAGGTGTGATGCTTCCTGAAATAATTTAGTATCAGCATTGCAATGTGTATTCTAGGTACCCCTTAATTGCCACAGGAATATTTTTTTTTGCTATTCACTGATAACACAGATTTTGTGAGAGTTTTGTTTTCTACTATTTATATAAGATCACCCCAAAACCTTTTTCCTATTCTCTTCTGCTCAGCATGATGAATTTTCATGCTTCAGTACCCTGGCCAAAAGGTAAAAAGGAAAAAGCATTCTTAATTTTCACCTGGTAGCTGGCATGGCCTTATGAAGCTCATGGTATGAGTTTGGCCAGGATGTTTGATTACCTTAGAGGGCGGGAAGCTCTCCCCATGTGAGGAGTAGCCTTATAGGATGACAAAAGAAGTCAGATTTGTTCAGGGACTTTTCCAAGATTTTACTTCTCACCTTTATTTTGCTTTCTAGAGTTTATATTTTTTCCAGAACAAAAACAAACATCAGGAAAACTTTCCTTCTAGTCAAATAGAAACATATCCTCTATAGAAGCTACAAAAATATTAGTCATGCTTGCTTCAGAATATATTATTTTCATTTTGGATAAACAACTTAATTGGTAGGAGATTGTTGATTTTTAGATGGCAGAGGCAGAGAGAGAATATTTGGGAAAGGGCAAAGGATACAAGAATACCGTGTGTATTAGAGGGTTAACTGTTTAAGATAGTAAGTAGCTTGTAATGAAAGACCTTATCATCATCAGATGTTGGATGTATGGTGATTTGTTTAAAAAATGTTATGGCTTTTATACTTTTCTTCTTATAGCAATAATTTCCACTGTGTTTTCCGAAGGTATTTGAATGACAGAGCTATTATGATTGATGATATTCATGACAATATAATTGTTCTGTGTAGTTTTAAAATATGGTCCTAAAATTCCTTAACATTCCCCCTACTGAGAGGTGTCTATGTCCCCTTCCTTTGAATCTGGGTTCTGTATGTTAGGCTCTGCCAACAGCGTGACAGCACAGTATGGCAGACATGGCACTATTACTGTTCCTGGGCCCCAGCCTGAAATCAGCAGTGGTTACTTCTTGTCCCTTGGGACTCTTACTCTTAGAACCCAGCCACCGTGCAATAGGGAAGTCAAAGTATCTCATGGAGAAGAACCAAGATCTCTAGCTCACAGCCTCTGCAGAGCTTCTAGCCAACAGCCAGCACCAACTGGCCAGACATTAGATGAGCCATCTTCGAAATAGATCCCCTGGCCCCAGCTGGCCTCCTGCAACCCACAGCCATGTGTGGAAGAGACAAGCTCTCCTCACTCAGTTGTGCTCAAATTGTGGACTCAGGAGTAAAATAAATAGTGTTGTTATTTTAAGCCACTAAGTTTTGGGGTGATTTTTTACACAGCAATACAGAACTGATATAGTTTAACATTTCACAATCCTGCCACATAATTCTGGCAAATTTTACTTTTGTGGCACCATTTGAGCATATGTAAAGTTATCTGAAAAGCATCTGTTTTCTGGGAAAGTTCGGCCATTGGAGAATCAGATAATCAGGTATTGTTTATGCAGAGATAAGAAATCAATGTAGCTGATTTATGTTAAGTTCAACAGTATCCAAAAATATCATACCTTCTATAATCTGATACTAGTTTAATTAGGTCCTCAGTTGAAATCTTGCTATTTTCTTGTCTATACAGTGGTGAAAATCTTGAATCTCTGTCCACATTTCCCTGGTTGTCCTTAAATACCGATCTGAAAGAAAATATTTATTCAGGTTGGTATTTGGATATTGTTTATGGAGTTGTGTTTTTAAGGTGACTAAATTAAATTTCTCATTTACAATGGAATAAACTCTAGAAACTTATAGAATAAAAAGACAAAAATACTTAGACAAAAGTTTCATTTACACACTTTATTTTCATTGTCTTTAATTTCTTATTTTCAACTCTTTGCCTAAAGTGACAGCAGTCTATATTATAATACAACTATTTTTTAATGATGTCTTACATTTTAGTAACTTATATCAAAACCTTGGAGTATTAGAGCAACAGAGAGGAATTAGAACACATGTTGTTCTTTTTAATTATATCCTCGAGGCACCCTGAACGCGGGTGAGGCAGGGTCACTTCCATTTGGGCGGCACTAAGGATTTAGGTGTAGTAGAACTGGGGTAAGGTTGTATATGCGGGTATAGAAGGCCAGACTCTCGAAACATTTTCATGGAGATAAATGTGCCCATGTCATAACTTTCAGGACAGAGATAAAGATGAAATGGAATACAGCTGAGTCAGGTTTTTATATTAAATAAGAAGAACACTATGAATCAGCCATTTATTTCCTTCATTGGTCTGTTGTGTTGGAACCATATAGACTTAGTTAAAATACAGAAATTGTTTTTGTCCAAATAATATAGTAACGTCAGGCCATACTTGCTTTATATACATAACATGCTTAGATGTTAGATTTTTCTTCCTCATACTTCATCATACAATGTATAGTCAAAGAAAAACTAGACCCATATATAATTGCTTTTTCTTCAATGTTGAATTCTTACTTCTTCTAACTTAAAGACCTTAACTAGAATATTTTATCACTCTTTAAGTTAACCAAAGAATTCAATACACAGGCTGAAATGGCCATTTAAATGGATAACAAATCATAGAGCTTTGGTGTAAAATATAGAAAATGGGCCAGGAATTTATCAGAATGATATTTTTAGACTCCTTCCACATGTCTCCTCATTTTTCTCTGCTAAGTAGTAACCGAGGGGAGGTAAAAAAGCCCTCTATCAAATAACACAGGGGAAACTGAATGAAAATATTGAACTTGAAAATTATTTTTATTTAAATATTATACGGGGTTTTTGTTTGAGTGTATGAGATGTCGAAACCAATATGATGTATTTCTCGACACGAGGAGAAGTTAAACTGAACTTGAGCAATAGCTTTTTAATTAACCAGTGACTTTAAACACATTGAGAGATGTGAGTTGTGTAATCGTTTCTGTTTTTATTCAAAGCTCTGTCATGGAAATTGCTCACTCGCAATTGGACACTCATCCCAAAGAGAATGAAGAATGAAGCACCACGGGAGAAGTTCTGCTCGCGACGCCACACAACCTGTGGTTGCTCAATAAATATACTAACTGGCAGGAGAACAAAGAACGGACTCATCTGCACAGATGGTTTCGGGATGGCTGGGACCCCGTGCCTACTTCCAACTGCTGCAGTTGAGCAATGATCACTACGCTGTGAGGTCTCAGCGCCACGATATTTGGGATATGATCGGAGGGATCATGAATTATGTCCCAGCCATCTCGAAACCATCTGTGTAAATGAGTCTGTTCTTTGTTTTCTTGCCTGAAGGAAAAACTTAGTTGTCCCTGACAGCTTTGCTCACAGGCAGCCTGAACAGCCACGACGGACAGAATGAATTAGACGTGTTTTTTCATGGCTGTGGAAGATGAAACATAAAAGTGGCTGTCAGGCCGTTTAAGATTATTTTATGGAATGAATTATTTAATCATTAGAGCTCGAAAAAGACAGACAGAAGGAAGCACTGTGGGATGCGCTTGGGTTTCTGTCACCGGAAGGATTCAAACGGAGGTTGAACAACCATTTGTTGGGGATGTCGCTGTCAGCACAGGAACCTTAGATCATAGCAACGTTGTGCATCTTCTCTAAGTGTAGAGATATGAGAATAAAAGATTTATTTTAGTCTTGTTTAATTTTAAAGAAAATTCAGTGTTGTGTGTTTGTCCATTTAGAATGTCAAATGAGACAAGAGTGAAGAAATCATTAAAAAGCCCTGGCCTGGATTTAGTCACATGTGATTCTGGGGGTGATATGCGTGGAAAGAGCTCCATTTTAACACGGTACACTTGGAAGGGCCAATGTTCTCCCAAATCAGTGAGTATAAATACCCTACGTAGTCGTCTGTGTGTGTTCTCTCTTCCTACCCCAAGGATGACCTTTTCACTGTAAAACGGCACTACAGTTGGCTCCAAATATGAGAACATCAGATTAATTTCAAACAAAATGTTGCTCACAGCGATGAGCACTGCAGTGGGTGGGATGATTAGATCTGGGTAAAAATATGGTCATAAACGAAACTGTCAATTCTACTCTTAATGACCACTGACTGTAAGGGCCAAAACCTTTTAGGGCACACTGAAAGCTACACTGAGAAACAAGCTGCAATCTCCAAAGTCTAATAGAAAGGAAAGTAGCCACATAGTCAGCGGTATCAACAAGGTACTGAAACATGTCAGGCAGCTGGTAATGACATTGAGTGACAACTAGTCTGCCTCCGATGCTGCCACATTTATTTGAAGCAGTTTCCACACTGTGAGGGGGAAATTGAAATCTTTGGCTGGATTTTGTGCTTTTTTGTGGTTAGATAATCCAAGTGGTCTAACATGAAATCTTTAGAACTGTACTGCTAACCATTTTTCTCAGTTGCCAGGGAAATTTAGGTACCATGAATCATATAGGTACATACACAAATTGGTGGTGTATACTGTTTCCTAACCTACATCCAAACCACTAACTGGGCATTAGTACAGCATGAGCTTGTGGTGTCTTTGGCTGTCCTATCCTAGGAGTAATTACTTCAATAGTTGGTAATATTGTCAGCCTCGCTAGGAACTTCATCTGTCTTTCTTCCAGCATATTTTACTGGACAGCTTCAAAGTAGGATTATCACTTCTGCTAACCTCTGAGGTTCTTTCAATAATGGGTAATTCTTTTACTTTTTTGCCTCCACATTACTCTTAACTTCCCCAAATTTACTAGAAGAGGGGACTTGTTGAGGTGAATATGATTTCCACAAGTGACTTTTAGTAACAATAATTTTAGAAAAATGCCTTCTAATAATAGCAATCTTTTATTGGGTATATATCTATGCTCAGTAATGCCTGCAACAGTAAATTAGATATTATTATGCCTCTTTTGTAGATTTAAAAAATAGCAGTCAAGACATTATAAGTAACCTGCCTAAGTTCACTTGGCTAGTAAAGGATTGAGTTGATACTTCCTGACTGACTCTAAAGTGCCTGCTTCTAAAATCTCAGAACAATGTTGGATCCTTAAAGAGAAAATGTGTGCACCATTGTAATTTTGCTACATTGGAATATTTCATGTTTGCCAAGACACATCTGGACTTTATTTGCCCCAACAGGTTTTCTGGAGGGAACTGAGAATGCTTCATAATACAAAAATGTTTAATCAGTGAATTATAACTAGTTATCCTTTCTCTTGAAGCTTATGAGAAATAAACACAATTAAATTCAGAAAAAAGGGTTTAGTATATCTAAATAATATCTTTTTCATGCAGAATGTCCTGGCATTAATTGTCCCTGTAGGAAAAGATAGAAAAGAGGAGATAAAGTGATATCCATGATCTACTATATGCCAAATGCTTTTGCATCTGTAATTGTATTTGACATGCTGTCCGCAAGGCAGGTATTGCCAGCTCCATTCCATAGATGGGAACCTTGGATGGGACTTGGAATAGAAACTTGTTCAAAGTCACAGTAAGTGGTGGCCTGATCTGCACCAGGTTTACCAGACTCCTGGGCCTAGGCTCCTCATCCTCTGTGATAGGGCTTCCTTAGGGGAAGGATTCCTGAGGACCGTATAAGCCTGCCTTGGTTTATTGCTGCCCAAACTTCCACATTTCTTCTCCCTGCACCTACTTGTCCCCAACTTTAAATGACAGATACCAGTGAGTTTACTCTGGATATACTTATCACTGGAAATTGTGAGACCTAAAAATGGCATACCTAACAGGTTCTCCCTGCCTTCTGAATTTTAATTTCCTGCCATTGGGACAGTGTTACTAAAATTCAACAAATACTTGCTAGGCTGTCTTATTTTGTAGCTCTAACCTTCTTTAGTTCATTCAGTTTGTACATTGTTGACCTTTTTTCCTTATGGGTCTGTGCCAGGCTCTTCCTCCTTTAAGAAATGCTTATACTAATAGAGATGTAAAGGGATTGAGGAGGACAATAGTAATCGATAATTAAACAGATCTGAAAAGCAATTCTTGTTCCTTATGCAGAGGTTATATGTCCAGATGAATGATGCCACCATCGATGTCCACAGAACTCAGCATTTCTATCAGAGAGTCAACGGGTACTGATAAATTTGGCTGTGCTAATCAGTAATGAGATCAAAGAGAGTTTAAATGATCAGTTTGATGGTTTCATTTGGACGTCCACATATAGACCTGAGCTCGACGCCTAAATGAAAACGTGCAGCTGCATAAGGAATCATAGCGCATCCACCTGAATTTTATGCACACCAGACTCTCAGGACTGACCTACCATCAAAGTTTTGTTAAGCCAGATATACATAATAAACAAGTTATGACTTTGTTTTGATATCTACCAAGAACCCACAGTATACCTGGTCATTCACACACTGTATATATGTCACTGTCCCCTATTATAAGTTGTCTTGCTAAACTGTCTTGTGAAATGTATGTGCCTGGGGAGCTTGGGATGTTCATGAAGATGACCACACTAGCATTCTTCAACATGTGGGCACATTAAAAATAA